TTTGCATTTTGGTGCAAAGGGCACAGCCACTGGTGGCGCCTGCTACGACGGTAGCAACGCCTACCTCGGCGCTGGCGCCTACTGTGACGGCGCCTATTCGGGCAGTCAGTACGACAGCAGTCACTTCATGGCCGCTGGCAATCATGGCGCTGAAATTGTCAGCCCAGCAGAGTACCATCAGTTAAGCTAGACACACTGTGCAATGAGGCTTCAACCAGTGGTACTTCACCACTGTAGCAGCTACTTTTGCAATTTGACCAATCCATCTTGACTACCACCACCACCACGACCACTACTATTTATTAACCACCTGTACATAAGCGAGTAGATGATGATGTTTATTGTTCTTATTTATTTACCTACTGTACGCTCATTCCAAACCAACTCATTGGACAATTGAAAGACACTGCAAAGGCAGACAAACGTATTCAGACAGTATTTGTTGATGGCTGCCAGTACAGTCACCGTCACCTGTTCATCAAGTAGTCTTACCACTCAGCAGACTCACACAGTTCTCACTCAGTTATCATCTCATTTTTAATTAGTTGTGTTTTACAGACAAATCCACAACCGATCTGTATCATTCATCCCCTACTACTTCACCAATTTTGGCTTGTATTTCTTCTCTTTTCTTCTTACTAAATAATAAATGGCAATAATACCTACTTGAACAAGTACGCTATATTACAACTGGTCACTACTACTAAAGTAAAGTCTAAAACTCAATTGTAAAATTGTCATTATAAACCTTAATGATATTTATCGACTCATTTTCAGTTTACATAAAGCTTTTCCGTTTTAAGGTAATCTAGAGTTTTTTCAAAACAAAAAAAGTAAAATATGTTCCATATAAGGTTTCCATTGACAATGAGCATTTAGTGCTTTGGTAAATATTGCAAAACTGTCATACTAGATTTATGAATGAACAGGTTTTGTTAAAAATATTTTTCATTGAAAAACTTTGAATTTTTGTTTTTTATTGTCAAAAACATTAAAAACAGTCAAAACATTTATTGGGATTCATTGATTGGCATTTCAAATAAAGTAATAAAATTGAATTAAATGAAATGAATAAAATTGTTTGTTGTAAATACTGAAAAAACGAGTTTTGTATAGTTTTTGCCAATGATGTAAAAGATATGAATGTCGATGAATTAAAGTATATGATGGTATTTGGTGATACATACCGCAACTGTCCTAGCAGTAGTACAGCTTGTTCTGGCACTTTTTGTTGACTTTAACAAGCTGATTGAGCCGATTAATAATCTCTCCCTCATCTGCTGAATTGAATTGCACCTTGTCAGCAGTGGCTGTACTGTCGACCAGGTTGCGCTGAGCTTCAATGTGCAGTTTGCCGCGGTAACAACACAGGTCGGCGTAGTGAACCGGAGTGGGAAGGGAAATGACGCCTCGAGTACGAACGCTGTTGTGGCAAAGGAGGAAAGCCATCTTCTGCACAGTGTCGGCAGTCATCTGCAGGTCGTCCTCAAGAATGATGTACTTGATTGGTCTAGAGGTGCCCTAGAAAAGAAAGGGATTAGAACATATCAGCTGGCAGAGTCCTGACAGTTACCAGAGGCGAAAAGTGACTGTTCAGGTAGAACGTCTTGTACACTGGCTCGACGATTGTGTTGTCGACGACCGTTCCGCTGGGCACATTCCAAGTGGGTCTGCGTCCTTGGGAGTTGACGGTGGTTAGTGCAAAACGAGCGTTGTGTCGCTTCTGCACAATGATCAGCGCAATCTTGATAGGCTCAGTAGTCATCTTGGTGACGGCAGCTCGAATGTCTGGAAGCTCAGTGGCTGCCACTTTCTGGTACTGTCCCTCAGAAACACCATCGCGAAAGATGACTACATTCTTTGGCAGTGCATTATTTGCTTTTTGATACTCTACGAGCAGTTCACAAATCATTGACTCAAGGTTTTTCAAAATTTCATCTCGATCTTTTTTCTGAACAAAAATGCTAGCGGCGTATCGACTGAAATTGGAATCGAGAGAGCCCACAGCGGCAGACACCGAAATGGCCATCTTCTGCGTCTCTGCCGGATGGTTCACATCAATGCCGACAAACATGGTGCGGGTCAGGCTAAAAGAAAAATCTTGCAACTGGGTAGGCTCAACCAGCGAGTTCACTCCTCCACACTTTCCGTTTACTTTGAGGAGAAACTGGTCAAAGTATCCGTTGGGAGTTCTATCAACGTTGTCCGCCTTGAAGCATTGCGACAGAATGCCAAACTGCTGATCACAGTAGTACTTGACTAAGCCGTACATTTGAGCCGGTGGAATGACAGTGTGATCTGAAAGAATAAACAAGATAAAAAAAACAGAAAACACAGAAATAGCGCTTACTTGTAGGTATTCCAACAAAGATAAACTCTGCTTGTGACTCTGATTGGAAATTGGTTAAAGTGGTAAGCAGCATGTGGGCCTCTGAAATGGCAACAATTGCCATTAGGTTTGGGGATCCTAGGTTAAGACCAAAGGAGCGCGCTCTGTTCACCATCATACTCGAAAAACAGCTGAGCTGCTCTTGAGTGACATTGCTGTCAAAACAAACAACACCCCAATTTTTAGGCACTTTGCAAGCTTGATTGAACTTGTCATTGCGGTTTGAGTTGAGCAGTCTCGGAGCGTTCAAGACGCGTCCCATGAAAGTGACCGGGTTGGTGTCGAGACTGATTCCAAAGTCTTGCTGGGTTTCTAGCTCACATGCAGCCACTTTTTCAATGACTTTTCTCAACATGTTGAAGTACACGTTGGGACAGTTTGTCGCCTTCAGCAGCATGTCTCGTTGAATTTGCGTGTTGATCTTTGCCGTGCTAAGGAACTGATTGGGTACCAGAAAGCAGAGTTCCAGAGGTAAATAAACACTTTTTTTGGTCATCTTTAACGCGACCGTGTTTAAATCGGGAGTAATGTTGTACTCGTTGATAAAGTACTCAGCAACGGTGATTTTTTGTCCCGATCTTTTGCAAGTGAACTTAATTTCGTAAACTGTCTTGTCGACAAGACCTTCAGCTGTGTAGTTTATTTTTCGATTGCCGTGCTGAGTAAAGACTCGCAAGTAGCGGATGAATCGGTTGAAATCCATTATCTGTTGCTTTGATGGACGCCTGCCAATCTGAATTCCTGCTAACACGTTTGCAAGATCGCTGACTCTGCTGATGTTGTGGTTAATCACGCAAGAAGTTTTCAGGTGGACGTTGAGGGCAAGACCAAACTCAGTCATATGAACCGCTGAAGTGAAACCACTGATAAACTCGGCAAGTTGAACCTAAAAAGGAAAGATGTGTAATGTATAAAAAGATAAATATAGTCTTACTCTGGGTGAGCTAGTGATAGAGGTGAGGTCGAAAAACTTTCGCTGAAAAGTCACGTAGTGCTTTCCCATGATAAAGCGAAGAATAGTTTCAAAAACTGAAAGGACGCGCTTGTTGAGGTCATTCCTTTTGCTGGTGTAGAACTCAATGATCTCTTTCAGGGTGATCCTTTCAACAAGTTTCACCCGGACAGTAAACTTCACCGGTTGTTTATCAACAATGATTTTCACATCAAGGTTCATGACATTGTGATGTGGGAAATTGAATGGTTGTGTGGTATACAGGTTCTTTAATCCGTCATGAACATGACGCACGCCAATAAAAATGTTGTTTTCTGAAAGCATTTTTGAGATCACTTGATTGGCAAAGGGATCTTTATTTGAGTTGGTGTCGCTGAAATGAATAATGCAGGAGTCACTGTCACAAGCATTTTCTTGTCGTTCTCGACTGATGTCAATGTCGTAGTGATAGACAAAACTGTTTTCTAAAACATTCAGCTTGTAGTAATTAGCCAACAGCTGTATGGGATGTCCTTCAGTTCCGGCAACCAGTTTTTGAACGACCAAGTTCTGGTGATTGCTCGTTAAAGGCATTGGAGTGTTTGCCTCAAAACTGCAACTGTTGCTGTTGTTGCCGCCTCGACCTCTGAGGAATCTACTTCGAACACTTAGGTAGCTTCCTCGAGATCCGTTATATCCGCGTCCTCTGCCATCTAAAATAAGTAAAAAATAATCAAAATTTGAACTTGAAAAAAATGTTTACAAAAACTTACGAAAGTGGCTCATTTTTTAAATATAGCAAAAAAGTTTTAGATGATCGATTGTTTGATAGATGAAGCCAATTTTTAAAACAAAAAATGATGAGGGAGAAAAATGTCTGCTAACTTTGCAAGTCACAATACTACAAATGCCGCAAAAAATTGCATTTATACATTTTGAGACCTGTTTTCGTAAACAAGAGCATGTGTAATCAGATTTCTTATCAGTTTTCGGATGATAAAGTTGACTTTGACATGGCATTTTGACACTAAGTTTGTAATTCAAGTTTATATTTGAACTTTTGACATCTTTTGAACTTTGAATGCGCACTTTTGCGTGTTTATTAACATTTTGTTAATAATTTGGATTAAATCGTTTTGAACCACTAAAATGAATGGTTAACTTAGAACTTGGGACTGTTAATCATAAAATGTAGAACAACAAAAATTAGAAAAAAGTTGTGCTATATGTTAAGATTCACTTTTCGTATTTTCCATCAGTCATTTTTCAACTGATGCTGTTTTAGTACGTACTATTTTCTTTCAAAATGTTTCGAAACAGTCAAATCCGAGCAACTACTTTAATGAAATGGTCTTGTCTGGGCTTCTTCGCCGATCTCTGCGACCTGGGCGGCGGTACTGAGCGCCCAAAGACAGAGCCACGCGTCCGTCCATTTGCTATAAGCAGTGTTCAGCACGTCAAACTGGCGTCTAATGCTCGTCTTATGCAGGACCAGGACTTGGCGGAAACTAAAATTAAAGGGAAAAACCATGGGACAGCCATCAACAGAGAGGAAGTGCCAGTCGAACAACTCTCAGCCTACATTGAGTCGAACCTGGATGAGGAGCTAGTTCAACGCACCGCTTATGATCGCAACAACATCCAAACGACGAAGATCATTCAGAACTTGTACGTGACTAGCTTTGGAGGACTCAAAGCCAAGACACTGGGCAACTTCAAGATCAATCTTCTGCTGAATGCGACCACCGATTTGCCCAATGTGACTGCGGCTGGTGTGACCACGCTTCGTGTGCCCATTCTCGAGGAGGAAGCCGATGCCTCATTGTCTCGCTACATCAACGATGTTGCTGATAAAATACACGAGAACTACCTCAAAAACGGTCAGACGGTGCTCTACTGCAGTGATGGCAATCGAAACAGTATGGCTCTGTCTGCAGGTAGTGAATAGTCACCTTTCAAATTACGCTGTTTTTCTAACCACCAGTTTTCTTTATCTTAACTTTTCTTAATCTAGGTTATCTGATCAAATACACAGACTTGCGCCTGTCTGAAGCGCTGACTCACCTAAAGTACACTCGAAAGGGTTTTGCGCATCAGGGCGGGAAGCTTGGTCCCTTTGAGAAGCCGCTGATCAAGTACGCCAGAAAGCTGAAGAAGGTGGACAGCTACCAGGGCTATCAGCCAACTTCCACCACAGCAAAAGGTATGAGAAGTTTGAAAAGCTTTAAGTCTGCGGCAAAAACATCCAGTGGAAAGAAGTCAGTCAAGAAGACCAGCACCAAAAAGAGTCAGAAAACTAGCCGCAACAGTGGTAGCTCCAAAAGCTAGAAAGCATATTTTGGCACCGTTTTTTGCTGTTTTACTAATCTCGCAAACTCTCTGCACTACTTTGCTGTTCTTGTTTTACATTGTACATTGAATTTCAATAAACGCAAAAAAATGAAAAACATTTAAAAAATAAAAATGTTTAAAAACTTACAAATTAAAAATTCAAAAATTTAGATGAATGAATGGCGACAATCAAATGTGAAAGCGCCGACTGCAGAATAATCTGCAGTTGCAGTAGAGGCAAACAGCCACCTTTACTGCGGCACAATGTTGTTAATGCGAGTCTGGAGGCTCTTCAACTCCTGCGCCACCTCCTGGTCAGACTTGGTGACCAACTGCTGAGAGAGGCCCTTGACGATGACCTCTTTAGCCTCGGCGTACTTCTTCATCTTGACTAGCAGGTAGGCCAGAGTGACGTAGCCGTCGATGAGAGCGCCGTTGATGGCGATGGACTCGCGCAGTTTGGCCTCAGCCTCGGCCCAGTTAATATCAGGCAGCGGAAGCTCCTTTCGGATGGCCGCCTTTTCCTCCTCAGTCAGTGAGGAAAGAGCCAGCGCAAAGCGGCCCTCCATAAACAGAACCATGGGGTCCTTTGGGTTCAAGCGAATGCACACGGCGAGGGCGCGCAAGAAGGCGATACTGTACCTGAGGATGAGGAAGAGGAGAAGTAGAGTGGCGATCAAAGTGATGAGTCAGCAGACCACACTATGTGGTCACTGCCACACGTCATCGTCACTTACTTGATCTTCTCGGGGACCGAGACGCCGAGAAGAGCGATCTTGCCGGAGGCCGCCGCCTGCCACAGATGGCCACGGAAGTTGTTGCTGTCCTTGGCGACCACTTTCTCAGCAATTTCTAGAGATTCAGTGGTCTTAGCTTTGATTTCCTTGGGATCATTCATGTTGAGCGTCACTAAAAAGGTCGCCTGAGCAAGGCGAGACAGAATCTCTACATTCTCCGGAGAGTCTTTTGAAGCCTGAGAGATCTGCTCGTACAACTTTTCATAGTTGGCGCCAGTTTTGGAAATCTCAGCGTCCCAAGCCAGCAGGTCAATCACTTTTGGCGGTTGCGATTCCAGCTTAGCGGGAGCAGCCATTGCGTGCTTGTTGGGTTTTGTTGACAAACTCAAAAATTGTTTTCAAAAATGCTAGCAAATGGGTTCAACAAATTCAGCAAACAAAATCAACATAAAATGAGGTGTCATTGCTTGAATCAGATTGTTTTATCGGTTTATCTCAATAATTCGAAGTTCCAAAACTGATTCTTTTTGATCATTTAAAATAAACATAATTTACATTGTCATTTTACTTCAAATCTAACTTAAAAAAAATATATTTCATTACTACTTGTCATTGAAAAAAATATTGAGATTCAGCGCTAAATATTTTTATTAGCCATGATGGACTCGCCATCTCTTGCAGTGTGTTTGCAACCTCAAAAACTTGATTAAAAAAAGTATTTTAAAGGTCACTAGAGGTCGCGTCAAATGGGATAATAAAATAATTCAAACGTTTTTAATAAAAGTTAAACTGTGACATTGTTAAAAATATTTAGAACAATTAAAAAACTATAAACGAAAATTGAACATTAATTGGATGTACAAAACTAGTTTTAAATAAACTTGAGAAAATTTCTGTTAACTTTTCAATTTAAACGATGAAATTCTAGTGCTAAAATTATTTTAAACCAATTAAAAAATATTTTTGAAAAAGTGATGTTGCAAAGTTTTAAATAAGGCAATTATCATCGTCATTTAATAGAGATGCTTGGTGAAATGGTCAAGCAAGACAGGACAGTCCACATTTTAAGTTGTGTGTGTGTGTGTGAGTGAGTGCGTAAGCGAGTTGACATTGAAACGGCAATTGGCAATCGATCAGAGGTCCATGCAAAGTGGTCAAGTCATTAGCGTACACTGAGCAGCTCTGACTGACTCAGCTGGCTCCCTTGCTCTATAGCAAAGGGAGCCAATCAAAGGGATGCACGACTGATGAGAAGCGACTGGCGCCTCAGTGCAACGAAATAGGAAAGCAATCTTGAACGATGCAACAAATACTGATAGTACAAACGGTGCATCAGATGCACTGTCAATTAATCAACTTGCACGCCTTTTGAGGCACTCTACAAATTGGCTTTGAATAAAAAGTCCATCAATTGCGAGGTGTGTTTGAGCTTATACGTTCTAAGTCAAGAAACTACAGCTCACTATAATTAATATCTTTGTTTGTTTTTATTTTCAGCAGTGCAAAATAATGTCAAATAAACATAAACCATAAAATGGCTACTGCTGTTGCTGTCACTGTTGCAGCATCAAGCAAGCGCGGTCAAAGCCGAAGGCCACAGCTATAATGTCGCGTCTGCAGCATGTCATGGGAATTCTCCGGCACATCATCAAGGGCAGAGCATTGTTGTTTGGAGACTTGACTTGATGCGAGCACATAGGCATTCACTCTCAACCACTGTTGATGTGTACAATGTGCAAATGTGCATGCAAAAGCACTTCATCCACTTATGGTGGCAAAGGCAGAATAAAGACCAAATTTTAAGAAGGAAAAAAAGTTAAAAGCGGCAACCGTCTTTAAAGCCGACATTCTCATGCACACACACTTTGACAGGATCACTTGTGAGATTGGCTACGCGATTAGTGGGCATGCACCACAACTGGTGCTTTTGGTGTTCAGTGCTCGGGAGACCTGAGACGAAGTAGCTGTTGAGCCCCTTTACTTGAACAATAGACTTCATTTTCATGCGATGCTCTACAGTGTGTGTGTGTGTGTTCACATCGGATCACTATTCCTATAATTGGGCCTCTCCTTATCGAATTTAATTGCCGCCGCTTCATTACGATTAGTGGTCCAATAGTCAATTTGCCTGCTAGGCACTTTGATCCCAATGTTAGCACTTTGGCACACGAACATGTTTGCGCTCCTATCACCCAGTAGAGTTGAGTGTCTGTCTGTCTATCTATCTCTTTTTTCGGTGTCTCGGTGTCTGTGTTCAATGTGTGTTTGCTGTGAAGAAAGCGAGCCAGAGGGCGAGAGGAAAGAGAGAAAAAGAAAGAGAAAATGAAAGATACAACGCGTTGTGCCCAAATTTTAATTGTGGACAATGATGGATTACTGGGAGGGATTTCGTACGTTTGCCGTTTATTTAAGTTTTCGCTGCTTTTAATTCGTTTTCGTTTGTGCAAAACATAAAGCAGCTTGGACGAGGAGGAGAGAAAGAGAGCAAACGAGCTTCAGTTTGTTCTCTTTCTTTTTCTCTCAGTGCTCGTAGACAGCCACTGAACGTTTGCACTGCCAGGGAATCGAAAATAGTTGGAAGCTCTCGTCGCAACGTGTCATTTTTGATCAGCGCCAAATGAGAGAGTGCACGGGGAAAGCTGCCATCAAGTGGAACGCACCGACAGGCTGCCATTGACATATCCGACGGAGCAGAGAGAACTGAACTGAGTTGAGCTGAGCTGAGAAAGGAACAGAAACCGAAAAGAGCAAGAGAACACCACTGCACAAACAAACTACTCAACCGGGCTTGCCGCTGGCTGTCCAATGCTGCTCCACTGCTTCGCCGACGGCTTTGTCTGGAGCTGGGCAACCACCATCAACTGAACCAACTGGCATTTCGACGACTCTGACTATAACCGGCGAGAAGACTGCTGATTTGGCACAGGCCGAATGGTTCACTCGCCCCTTGCACATTTTCATCCACCACCGACACAGCACTGGCAAATCACCGATCAGTGCTGGGTCGAGCAAGTAGAGCACACAGCAACACAAACAGATTGCCAGTTTGCAGATCGCTAAGCTGTAATTTGGCTGCCTTTAATTAAAACGTATATCTCGTATGGTCGAGATTGCTACTTTGGCTGTGAGATCCACCCTCGCCCACCTTCGCCCTTCTCCGCTTCGATGGGCGAAGTGCCTTTTTTGTCGCATGTTTGAGCACCGTCTTTGAAGACCATCCATTTGTCGACCGCTTCGGCGTCTGTTTATAGTCAATGGGCTTATCTGCTTGCCATTTGGTGATGGCAGCGGTGATGGTGGAGAAGGTGGCGGTGGAGGTTGTGTGACCGTCCTGGGGCCCAAAGTCTCTAGGACCTACTCGATCACAGTGCCGCAGTGGCGTGTCGCGACCACTTCACGCAAACTCGATTAGTCTGTGTGTGGCATAAGGTACACTGAAAAACACACACACACACATACACGCAGACAGTGCCAACACCGACAATGGGCTCTAATGCATATATAATGTATCTAATATTCGATAATTAAAAAATCATTTATTATTTCAGCCGCACGGGCCGACCAAATGTGCACAAATGATTCACACTCGACAAGCCACAACAGCACAGTGAATGGAGAATGGCTCAGTGAATGGCCACTGCAGGCGTGCTTTGTCTGTCAAAACACTTGTAAACGTTTATCTGGTGCTAGTGGTGGCAGTGTGTAAATAATTATCAGTGCCACCGATACGGAGCTATCGGGGCCAGTTTTCTCAGCCATTGGTCAAACAGACTGTGCATGTTGGCAGTGTGTGTGTACTGTCGAACACAACACACAAACTGGAAGAGTGTGGGTCTGTCTGTGTGTGTGTGTGTGAAGAGCATTTGCATATCTCCAGAGACTCTAATGACTTCTTAGTGCACAGAGGAGAGTGTGGAGGTAGTGTTCAGCGACAGTGCCTGTCACTGACCGCTTTCTCACCTAGGCCCCAGAAGATCGATCGAAAGAGCGGAGCAAAACCTCATCGAGGCCCAGCTAGTCAGTTGGCAGGAGCAGCAAACAGAGCACACACTGCCAGAAGTATAGCGCTCACTAGACACACACCCATGCCATCCCCAGTGGAAGGAAAAGAGAGAGAGCGAGAGGGAAAGGTAGCAGTACTTCTGCTGACTAGTTCGTCCCGCGCGCGCAGCACGACCAATGCTCGAACACTTTAGCATAATGTCCAATGGGTAGTACTGCATTGCTACATTGCTCCATATATGACTGGGAAAGAATATTGCTCAAATGGAGATTTGGTTTGCTGGGTTTTGCCGGTACCGATTGCGCAGTCAGTTGCCTTTTTGGTCTCCCTTATTATTATTGTAAGTTGTCGCCAAATAGCACAGACAACGACAGAGAATATGTCACACTGACTGACTGAGCCTGACGGTGATGCCGTTGCACGTCAGGTTAGTCCCACTGGCTTGAACATATGTCCGACGAGAGACTGAAAGTCTTTTGGTGTGACTTGCTGTCGGAACAGCAGCAGCAGCAGCAGCAGTAGTAGTATGCACCAAGACAGCAGATAATGAATCACTTGGAAGATCATAGAAGCAAAGATTGAACAAAGCACGGCAGAGGAAAAGATAGTGCTTGTGATAATGGCGCTGCTGAAGCAACACAGGCAGAAAAGTGGCAAGTCCGATTGAGGGGAAAAGAAGAAAAGCGAGTTTGATTTCAAGGGACTAATTCATTACGACAGAGCGACATGAGACAGGAGACACCTTTGTCTGATGGAGGGGGGGGACATTGTGAACGCAGAAGACTGCAAAGACAAAGGCGCTATCGAGTAGCAGTCTGACAAAAAGAGGAACATCTGAAAGGAAAAGAATAGCTGCTTTTTCCAAGAAAACCGATTTTTTTCTCTGATGTAATACACTGACTGGGAAGTGCCAACAAGAAATAGCATCTGCATCTTTCCGCTGGCAATGTTTCTGCCGTTTTGTTTTATTTTTTCCTTCTTTTCCGTGTGGCTACAGCTGGTCACACAATTTCATGGCAAGTATGCTTTGCGGTGGTAAAGTGATAACCCGCAAGTAGAATTTTACCAACAACATAATCTTATGATGCTAAAGATTTTGTGTTGCCGTTTGCTGAGGAAGTGGCAAACAAAGCGATGGAAAACTATGCACAGAGTGCATCTCCCTTGGCCCGCTTCGACGAGCGAAATAATAAATCATTGCAAGCCAAGTCGAATGAGCGCACTCGTTTGTTACCTCGCAATGGACTATCCATTCATCACATCACATCACATCGTGGTCTCACTCTCAGAAGCGACTCTACCGCCGCCGCCGCTGCTGCTCTGTGGTTTCGCTTTCACAGAACACTGATCTCGCCCGATTAGCGCCGTGGATCCTAATTTCTAATTAATTGACCGCACTAATTTAGCAATTGAGTGGCAAATTAGAGCAGAGACACACATACACACAGTGGGTGAAGGAGTAAATGAATGGTGAATTGCTAAGAAAGGAAGAATAATGGCTGTTCTGTCGTTGGCAGTGCTGATGGAGTGCACTCATCAGTGAGTGCACCATCGCCATCGCCAGTGAACAACTGACAAAAAACATCGCCGACTGCAGCTGCCACTTGGGCAAACTGCTTCTTTTGCTGCTGCTGCTTTCGATGTTGTTGTTGAAGCTGCTGATGCTCCTTCTTCAGCAGCTTCTTCGGTCGCTGCACCGCGTGACTGCATCAGTGGAGCTGGCTGCCTGCCACACACACTCAGCATCTATCTCTGGTGGTTGAGGATGCTCGATGCACTGTCTGTCTGTCTGTCTGTCTGTTTTCCAGCTCCGTTTCCCTTGCCTTGCATCCCATTGACCAGTTTGCCAGTCAGCTTAGCATCTACATCTGCTGTCTCGGTATTTGCGTGGACATTGTCCGCACAGCCAGAGTTCAGTCCGCTGCCAGCGGGATCCTATTGCAGTCCACTGTGAGACACTATTCAGCCGAATTCAGACTGCTGGCTGCTGCTGAGACTCGTTTGCTCTTCTTCTTTTTCTTCTTCGTTTTCAGCCTGTCAGCTTGGCACTGCACTGTTCCTTCTGATTGGTGGCGGGCGGTGACGTCACTGTCGACTGTGATGCTAAGTGGGCATGGCCTAGTGCTCACAGTCGGTACAACGTGTGTGTATCTCCTACACTACTACCACTGTTCTCTCTCTCACACACGCCAGCCACCAGGCAATGGACCAGCTTGAGAGAAGGGGCAGAGAAGAGAGAGAGAGATGACTGAAGCGGACTAACTGCTGCTGCTGCTGCTTCAACGCAAAGCGGTGTTACAAGTCGAGCAAAGGAGCAAACAGGACTCGGTGCTACGTACGCACATAGGAGCACATTGAGACTTGCCCAATAGCAGCCAACAGAGAAAGAGAGAGCCTGAAGACAGAAGCACGCAATACCTGTGTGACAGAGACTGTGAAGCTCCATCCTTTCTCGAAGCTCCTTAATTCGCATTTCCTCTCTGTCCGTCGTGGGGATGAGTGCGTTGAATGCAGTCGCCAGCTGAGATAAAGTTCGGCGCCAATAGCCTCCACAATAGGCCACTCTTGCTGTTATCTCCAATGCTGTCATCTCGCCAAATTGGACTTGCACGAAAGATGTCTTTAGTTGCTCTTTTGCCGTCACCAACAGGACTGCATTGTTTGAACACCTTCCCCAGTGAGCTAACAAGCATCACCTTCACCACCACTACCACCATCCTCATCCACTAACTCTGAATGCCATTTGTGCCACACTGAATGTCGTCGTATTGGCATTAGTTCAGCAGCACTATTGGAAAAAACTACTAGTGATTATCTTCATTCTCATCATCCTCCACTTTTGACTCTCTTCCTCAAACACTATTACAACAAACACCACCACCTTAATCTGTTGTCTTTCAATTGTCTGTTCTTTACCTCACACCGGTGTCATCGCTCTCACCTCAGAGCGTCTCGTGATTGAGCCAAATGATTATGAACTCGAATGTAGTTTACGGCGGTGCAATGCCGTGTCACAGTGGCATCGGCGGCGCATCCGGTGCCACCGCAGACTACCACCACCACCATCATCAGGGCTACAACCACCATCACTTTGGGGGTGACATTGCCAGCTACTACCCACCACCGCCACCTCCAACCAGTGATCTGCTGCTGAATGGCGGTGGATCAGCACAGCACGGCACTCTGCCCGTCTCCAGTACGCCTCCAGGCAGCACCCATTACTCACCACCGGGTCCATTTCACGGATCGGGTGGTGGGGGAGGCGGAGGCGGTTCCCTGCACGGCAATGGCCCTTTCTCCGGTGAGCCCGTCATCTCTGAACCAAATGGCCTTAGTTACACAAACCTCGACAACCTGGGCGGCGGTGGTGTGGGCGCCTACGGTCCCAATGCCGCTAATTCGGGCCTTTCTCACTCGCATTTTTCTCGCATCAGTCAGTACAGTGCCCCGCAAGGGCCAGTCACGGCGCACAGTACTTCGCAATGTTCCTCGCAGCAGTTGTCCGCCAACTCGACGCCCACTTCCAATCACAGCAACCTCTACTCGCAACCCTACCGGGAGTATGGTTCCAGTAGTGAACAACAACAACAACAACAACAACAACAGGCGACCTCCAGTCCAGTGCCCGCTAGTGTGAAGAGTGAATACGGCTCGGGCAGTTCGGTCACTCCGAATGGCACACCCGGCTCCTCACTTCACCACGAGAATGCCCATCTGATGTCGCCCATCAGCGAGTGCTCTCTCGGGCGGACTAGCTCCAGCTCCAGCGGCAGCGCCCACTACCCGAACTATTTGGAGCACCCTGGTCTGCTGTCTGCCCGCACACGCAATGGAGCGGCCTCCTCTGCAGTGTCCAGTGCAGTGCACCACTCGATGCACCTCCACCAGAATGGCCTCGGTTCGCCCTACTCAGTCGACCCCAGCCCCCACTACCCGGACATGACGTGCAACCAGCTGAACGGCAACTACCACCACCACTTAAATCACCTGACCAACCATTTGCAATCCTCACATCACCACTCATCCAATCCAAGGAGCTCTAATCAAAACGCAAACACCAATCTCCTCACCACAGCTCCTGTTCCGCAATATAAATGGATGCAAGTGAAGAGGAACATCCCTAAACCGCAAGGTAAGCTCTCTACAATATTCTCTATTCTTTCGCGCATCCACCGCATTGCCTCGAAATCTGAGCCTATCATTAGGTGGACAAATCGGTCTGCGATGACTAGTCAAGTTTGCATTTGTCACCGCAAAATTTGTTAGTGGTTGCATCTTTTATCAATTATACTGTCAAGTGAAGAGCAACGGCAGCGCACCAAGTACTCCCGATCACAGTTTCTGTGACAATGTCAGATTGGAGCCATTTGTCAGCTGGCTGAGGATACCTATTCCCCGGAGTGCACTCAATCACAGCGCCTGCCACCATCGGTGTTTGGCTAGTCTCACACTCTCATTCGAGGAGGATCGAGTGAAAGCGTTTTTTCTTGCGAGCGCGCGGGGGCACACTCAATTCCCAATCGATTCAATCAAAGCACCATCGTGTTTGTATCTTTCCTTTCTTCTCCTGCGTGGCGTTGTGCCTGTACGAAGACTAGTCAAATATGGCTTCACTCGTGTAGTGATGGATTTATTTTTATTTTAATTTTATAATAGCAAAAACTTGTTTCGTTAATTCGGCTGATTTCCTGCTATCATCGCATGTTCATGTAGCCTGCTGACAGTGGCAATTAGTGCACTCACCATCAATAGCACCAGAAACCAGTGAACACTAAACGGAGTAATGGAAATAATGAACAAAATATAAGTAAAAACACATAACACATCACGAGTGTTTTTTGGATAGAAGCCGTTCTCTGACTGACCAGTAAATGGAACTGGCAGTCGATTCTATATAATACGGCACAATTAGCGTAGTAGCTCGCTAACAAGCGGATAATTGGACAACATTCTGGTAGACAGGAACCAAGCTGGTAGTAATGTGTTTTTAATTTAGTTTATAATCACCAGTAAATTAAGTGTGAAGCTGCAGTATATAGAATCGACTCCCCGTGTCTTGCAAAGTTGAGTCTTCTTTAGCTAAGACAGACTAGCGAACTGAACCTCTTTCGTCTCTAAATCAACTTGATCTCAGGCCGTGGAAGCACGTAGGAAACTCGCCCAAACGGTGCGCTGAACTAATTGACTGCTTTGCCAATGGTGGTAGTGGTGGCTGTACTGTGAAGAAATTTGCATGCCTCCAATTGAGAGGATCATTTATTAGGATAAGGTCAAGCAAAAACTGTCAACCTGTCAAGTGGGCAGTTTGCAGGTTCAAGCTCTTCAGTCAATTACCGGTCACTGCAACCACACTGATTAATGGAAGTAATTATTTGCTATTGCCCATTGTGCAGCTGAGCAATGCCAGTGCCACTGGCCGACTGCCTGTCCAGTCATCACTGTTCAAATGATCACTAGGACCGTACAATTGAATCATTTACTGGTGACCCTCTTACCGTTTTCGACCTTGTTACCTACTACCGTTGCTGTCGTTGCTGCTGCTACTGCTATCGCAGACCACGGGCCTAGACAAATGAAGTTGTCCACAGCAGTGGAGCAGCCACAGGGCCTTTGGCTTTGCAGACAAATGACAAGGAACCATTAATTCAATCAGTCAACTGCTCTAATAGAAATGTTTAATGTTCACTCTTGTCTGCTCACTCTTGTCTGCTCATGCTTCTTTTGGCACACACTCGTTCGCACACACGTTGAGCTGTGGCTGTGTTCCAGAAACAAACATAAACACACTCAGCTCAGCTCAGCAGCAGCAAGCAGGATTAATGGTAGCGGTGATTAATGAAGCTCCCCGTGCCCCGGCGCGTCGTGTTGATCGCGCGCCCGACTGCAATTAGGGTCCTCTTTATTCGGGGCCAGTTATTCATTCATTTGCACACACTTACACAAACACACTCTCACAAATGCATAGAAAGCAGCCAACAGGCTTCCTCATCTAATTGAATTCAGTCTACAGTTGGCACTGTCTGCAGTGCCGTCACAAAGCGGACTATTATTATTAAAAATGGACTTGCTGTCCCTTTTCCTCTTTTCTTTTTTGCCTTTTCTTTCCTCTTCCTTTTCCTTGCAACTGCTTTTATTATTACTCACATTTGCACATATATTTTTTTCACTTCCTCACTGTCTCGCTCGCTCACATTGGCAAACACGACGACTACCAGCAAGCAAACCAGTCGAATACGGTGGCTACGGCGGTGGTTCGCCAAACTCTGCCGGCTCCTTGAACAGCATCGCCGCTGTGAGCGGCTCCTCGCCATCAAGTCTCGGGGCAGCTGGCGGCAATAACGCCGCCAATAATAACACCGGCCGAACCAACTTCACAACGAAACAGCTGACTGAACTGGAGAAAGAATTCCACTTCAACAAATACCTTACCCGGGCAAGGCGCATCGAAATTGCCACCTCGCTGCAGCTGAACGAAACGCAAGTCAAAGTAAGTGCCACTGGCAGTGCTTGCATATTTTGCCTGTCTTCTGCTACCCCTTTTTTCTGGGCCAATTACTCTTCAATCGATTATTATTGTTATTATTATTTATTCATGAACGTAAAGTCGTGCATCTGCTCCCTAGTACCTATATAGGGGCGAGGTAGTGCGCCCACTGACAGGCTTGTTGAGCTGCACTTTACGACTGTATTTTCTAGTCTAGCTACATTGTCCTCAGTGTGTCTGTGTGTATGCTGTGCGACGCATTGCATGTCACTTTGGCGTTGGCATGCTTGCATGCATTCATTCAGTCATTCTTTGACTTCTTGGGAGCAGAGTTTGACTCGACTGCTTCCAGGGTGCACAGAACAATTGCTGGGCTAGCGCTAATTAGAGGCAGCAAACTGTAGAACTTGTTGTTTAGAAGGGAACTGAAAGAATGGAGAATGTCTAAGATGCGTTGGTGCTGTTGATGCAGTTGGAGAGTGTGCTAGTGTGCACCGAGGTGCAGTGTAATTTTAGTTGTCTCTCGCTGTCGCTGTTGATGCCCTCTTCGTCATCGAGCTCTTCGGCAATGCCTGGCCATTGTGAAGTACAAACTGCAGCACAAGCAGCAGTACGATCAGATGCTATTTTGGCATCACATCTCAAAGAAAGAGAGGGAGAGGGAGGGAGGAATATAGCCGAGGCAGACACTGGGGATCTTCTAGAGGGCACATACATGCAGACAATGTAAGCACAACACGAAACTGTTTCAGTGGTGATGTGCCAATGCACTATAGACCACACTGTGATGATGCCCCATGATGATGACAACGGCACAGACAGAGGACTGCTGATGCTGCCGTGAGATGCTTGTCTCTAGGCTGAAGAAAAGTGAACAAAATAAAAATGAGCTCCTTCTTTCTCTCCTTTCAATCTCCTCCTGATGTTCAATGTCTCCAGCTGTCCTCTGTAATGACGGCAGCTTCCTGTCGCTGACTGCCAGTGACAAAAGATTCTCTGTCGAGTGGCATCAATTGCACAATATCAACCAGTAATAGCTGCTGGCCGGCCTTGAGCCAACCCATTTTGCACTTAATTCTGTTTTCAGTGGCAATCGTATCTAACTAATTTCTGTTTTCCTTCTCTCAATACTGTTGCTACAGATATGGTTTCAGAACCGACGAATGAAGCAGAAGAAGCGCATGAAAGAGGGTCTTATTCCCTCTGACTCGACCTCACCGCCGCCCCACTCTGCCGGTCTGTCCATCCACTCGGACTCGTCCAATCCGGCATCAACATCGCCCAAGCTTAGCGACGGCAGCTCTACACTGTGAAGCAGTCAGTGTGTCCGCCATCACAATCACTACCACCACCACCAGCATCGAACATCACCGCCAAAGGCGAGCTACTGGCTGAGAGTTTGACTTTATCACCACCACGACCACCACTGTCCGTCAAGCTCCAAACCCCGTCAAGTTGAAGAGTGGTGGAGCAGTTGAGCAGGCCAAAGTTTCCACCATCATCGGCCACTACTTTTTCAGCCAATAGCACGCAACGCGTTCTGGCACAAATAACAGCCAAATCTTTTGTCTCGCACTTTGGTTGCTGAGAACTACTGTGCACCGACATCTGCACCGAGTCCGCCGCTGTCAACTGCTCACACACTCACAGTTTGTCTGTCTGTCTGTCTGCAGTCCCGGGCCACTGGCACTGGCCTGAATCGCTGCTGCTCTGGCTGCTCCAGCGAAGCATGTCCGGCCAACTTTTTTCCGCTGCAATCGGGCCCGCATCTGTAATATAGTTGCTCTTTTTTTCTCTCGGTCCCTGTTTTCATTGCGAGCTCTCTCTCTCTCTTTTTGTCCTATCTTTTTCTCTCTCTCCCCAATTGTCCCACTGTTTGGTCATTCCATTTTATCCTTATTTAATCGACTCTTTGTAATTATACGTTGTTGGGTTTCTCCGCTAGTTTGTAGAAGTTATCATCATTCACCCTCCACACCGATAGCCACTATTAACCTATTGACAATTTTAACTTATTTGTCTTTTATTATTTTTATAAAATCTATATCCCGAATAAAAAACTCTCTGCGCTACCGGCACCGTTTCGTTTTACTCTTGCTTTGCAATTTACTAGGGGCTCATTTGTCTGCAAACGGCCATGAGCGAGTCCACTTGTCCACTGGCAGTGACCACCGGCAGTCAGCAGGCATTCTTCTGTACCAAATTGGCCCTTTGACGTGCTGCTCTCCACAGAGTGAACACTAGTACCTCAGTGCCGAAGTTGGGCACTCTCTTTGGCGTAGTGCAGAACGGCACATCACACTAATTTGCGCCCAATTGGCGGCTATGTTCGCCTCGGTGAGAAGAGGAGACGAAGCGGCGAAAATAACAGGCGACCGGGCGGCGTTGCAGCAGGCACGCATCGTCGCTGCCGCTGTCGCCCTCTTCGCCCCGCGTTCCAGTGATCAACCGATGGCGCCGAGTGCCGCCGTCGTCGACGCTGCTCTCCTTCTTCGCTGGCTGCCCCAAAGTGCTGCACGAACCAGGCACTCACTCTACTCACTCTGCTCGTAACGTGCTCGTCTGCGTCGAATTAAAAATCAATTCATCATCTGCCTGGCTATAATCAGTCAAAATCAATGCACTTTTGTCTTTGCTCTGTCCCAGTGGTTGAACACACTGCTTCGACTGAACTGTGTGCAACAATTTTGGAAACACACTGTCTTTACCGACAAACTGAACTGAAGACAAAAATTAGGATAAAAGAAGCAAAAGATGAAGCAGTAGATGAGAGGAGGAGAAGGTGGTGATGGTGATGGCGGAGGACAGAGTGGCACATTCGGACAACATTAGAGTGGAACAACGCTCGGCTGGCAAGTAATTCAATTTGGTGCCGTACTGTGAGTGCAAGAACTGTCACGCAATGGTAGTGCACTGCACGCACACAAACAGAACACACCGAGAGACATCACCTTAGCGAGAGAGGCAATTGCCAAATGGACAGGCTAACGGAGGAGGAGATCGTCTCAGCAGACTTTCCTACCTCCATACAGTTAGGAGCACAATGAGCAACTAAACTCGGTAATGCTCGTCACTGTGCGTGCCAACGACGACAACAACAACGACGACAACAACAACAACAACAACAACAACAAAGACAACGACGACGAAGACGAAAACGACAACAGCATTCTTCGCATAATCATCCACTCAGTGACGGCCAAAGTTGCAGAAAACCTAAAGTCCTCTAACTGAAATAGAAAAGTTTACACTTGGTCTCTTTTAAAAGCGTGTGCATCGTCTAGATNGACGACAACAACAACAACAACAACAACAACAAAGACAACGACGACGAAGACGAAAACGACAACAGCATTCTTCGCATAATCATCCACTCAGTGACGGCCAAAGTTACAGAAAACCTAAAGTCCTCTAACTGAAGTAGAAAAGTTTACACTTGGTCTCTTTTAAAAGCGTGTGCATCGTCTAGATTATCTTTCCACTGCCATTAAGTGCACGTGTTTATGTAGCATCTGTCCACACAAGTGGGCACTGTTTGTGCAGTTTAGTCAAGTTTAGTCGCTCTCTACAAGATTTATGATAATGATCAATTACTGTGAGTAAAAATATTTGTAAATTCAAGAATTTGACGTTTTAGAGTGGCATTGGCCGGTGTACATATTTAATGACTTTGCGCACTGGGTCGGCTTATGGTCAGCGATAGTCGCACACTTAGCATAATTAATGACACCAACCGCAGTGAGACACCGCTGAACCGTCTTCTCTCGTTGCAGAGTGCCAAGTGCCGTCGGCTCTCAGGTTTCGCAGCGGCGGGGTGGCTTCCAGACACTACAACTTCGACTTAAACTACTTCTTCTTTTTCTTTTGATTTCTCTGTTGCAGTGACAATCACATTTTAACCTGTAGCCCGTAACAGTCTGACTTATTCGGTCGTTTTCGGAGCTTTTGGAACTCGAACAAACCAACTGGGAAACGATGACGCCTCGAGTGCAGTGGCATCGCTGATCGAAGCTGCCAGTGAAATAGCAGTGGCTGCATTTGAAAACATTCAAGTGAAACCTATATGACGGCCAAGTGTTGCTATCATGGCCTCTCCAGTCGTGGTCGTGGTGCCCGTTTGTTTCAATCAACAGTTGAGGTGGTCAGGACTAGTGGAGTTGCTGTTGCAGGCAAAGCAGCCAACGGGCCACAACAAATTGAAAAATAATTACACAGCACAAAGGCACGCAGCTCTTCACTGACTGGCTGGCGTTAGTATCCGCGAGCACAGTTGCTGATGCTGATGTAGCTGCGGCAGTGGCGGCGGCCACAGCAGCATCTTGATCTGATCCTTTGTGCCATTATCCCTGCAAGCACGATAATTAAGCTTGCTCCTTCCTCCTCCTCCTTTGTTATTCAAACTCTTTCTATCCTCGGTTATTTACGCGACGGCACAAACTTACAGGCGCACAGACATGCACGACAGTACATGTCGGAGTGAACCGAGATTGAGTGCACACTCGCTTAATTGCCGAGCACTGGAGTCACAATCTTCGAAGTTGGCTCGATGATGCCACGATGTAGTCTGGCCAGCCAGCAATCCAGGCAGCCAATCCGCCTGTTTGCAGCGGAAAACACTGGCTGAACTGCGTGCCTGGAGATGGCCAATTCTTCTTCATCCACCTCTCGTTGGCTCACACCGACACTGATCACGCTTTGTGCGCAAACAGTGCTAGCAAGCAGAGTAACTTCAGCAAAGCGGCACTCTCTGCCAGAGCTCGTCTGTATGCTCGTCCTATCATGACAGCATCTCGATTGTCTGCATCCTTTCTCGCATTGTCTTAGATTTTAATTTAATTTGCCTTAGGCTTGCATGCATGCAACGATTCCTTCTCCTTCTCCGTCCATTTCTCTCTTCCACAGCGGTCATGTCGCCGCTGCTTTGTCTCACTACCACTCTCTGCCACAGGCGTCACAGGCAAACAATCAGATGAACGCTTGTAGTGGTGATGGTAGTGGTAGTGATGCTGCTGTAGAGAACAATTAAAATGCGTCTCTTTTTAAAACTGAGCACACCTGAAAGAGAATGGTCATAGGAGAGAGCGTCCATTCTGGCAAACATTCACACATCGCACAACACGGCACCGAAAATGCTGCTAAATTAGCAAACCAATCAGCCCAGCTATGTAAAGCCCCTGATTGCCTCAGTGCCTAGGTAATCAATCTAACCTAATAGAATTTTGTTTGAAAATTAATTTACAACGTTTCTCAGTGTATAGCGACACATGCTTTCTTTGTAGGCGGTTTCAATGTCAGAAGTAGCTGAATAAGAAAAACATTTTAAGGCAAAAGTTTCACCAATAGGTAGTGATGGGCTGGGACGTCAAAGCTGTTTCTTTGTGCCTGAGGTAACAGTGGTCGATATCGAATGTGTGCAATCGTCCAGTTGGTGAAACAGCTAGTTGCAAACAACTTTTTGCCCAAAAAAGTCTAAAATAGAGGAAATTGAGAAACGCCCTTTTCCCGAACCAGTAAAACACAGGGCAAACCTTAGGAACATTTCAGCACGCAAAAAGCCACTAAGTGTGCTGAGAAAACTGCTGATGTTGATGTTGCTCTCAAGACAAGCAAGCCATCAAGCAAAAACATCAGAAGCAGAAGCAGCAGCGAGAGCCGAAGTAGAAGAAGAAGAGTGCAAACTTTGTGCAAGTGCACAGTGTCTGCCTCAGAGCGCCATTGTGTCTGTGGTCACTCTAATTAGCAGTCCATTGTCTGGTAATTAGCGAAGGAGCCGCATCTCGCAGAGGACGAAAGCGCATCTTTCTATCTCTTTCCTTTCGCTGCACTTGGCAGACTTTTGGGCAGACTGCTGGTGACTCTGACCGAACGACGAGGATGGCGAAAATGGCGAGGATGGCGTGACAGCAGCCGCATGTGTGCAGCAGCAACATCAACATCAGCAGCAGCAGCCACAATGACCAGGCTCAACATTGCCAAACAGCGACCACAGACAAGTGCAGATTGGGAGTCATCGGAGGGCTCTATCAGTGCGCATTCTGCTTCGCCAGAGAAGGAGAATGAGAGAGAGAGAGAGAGAGAGAGAGAGAGAGAGAGAGAGAGAGAGAGAGA